AAATGTTCAGCGGTTTATCAATCGAAATAAGACTCGTATATACGCTATATCTATACATCCCTGTCATGTAAGTAATGCAAGCCTAATAACATATACTTAAGAGTCGGAGATTATGGAGATATAGGTATAAGAAGAGGGACACAAGTAGGGTGGAATTGCCAGTGAGACTGTGGGATCATATAAGTATCCTTATAAATACAAGCCTAATGACATGCATACATAGAGTTGGATATGGTTTGCGCATAATTGAGCATAAGAAGAGGGACAAGGTACCATGGAATTGCCGTCGATATTTGCAGGGATATAAGTATCCAGCCTATCAGTACATCCGGACCAAGAAATAATATCCAGCCTATCAGTACATTCGGACCAAGAAATAAGGATAATGTGTGTTAGAGAGTGATATAAGATCTAACATAACATTCTCCTAACAACTCGAGTTATTGGGAGTAACTGGTTTATGACATGGTATCAGAACTGGTTTGGCCAAGTGATCTTGTGTTCGAATCTGAGGGGGCATGTTAGAGAGTGATATACGATCCAACATAACCTTCTCCCAACAATTCGAGTTATTAGGAATAAATCATGGAACGTATTAGAGAATGATATAAGATCCAATATAACCTTCTCCGAACAACTCGAATTATTAGAAATAAAACAGGTAACAACCGGTTTACGACAATGTATACCTTTAATTTTGTGCCTCCACCTGCCGGTATGTATTTTGGATATACGCACAAATACTACAGACTAGCTATGGACCCTCCACTAGACAAAACGGTGTACATGGATGGTTACAGATGCCAGCCAGCAAGCAAGCAAGCAGTGGAAAGGTGTTCTAATTATTGAATTCACCTTATGAGGTGTACGTATAACTAAGTTGTAATCTGCCCACTCATTCTTGTTCGCATTTTATCCTGCATAGTCCCTGCACACTGAGCTGTGTTTTTGGTGGGTGTGGCCATGTATGTTTTGCAACATTCGATGAATTTGATATTGGTGTTTGTTACACCATATCATAATATCAGTTGAATTGTATGTAGCTGGGGATTCAACCGGTACAATCTTATTATGGTTTTATGGTCATGGTTTGATGAGGGCCTGGTCGAGCCGGACCAAGTGGATCAGACCAAGTGGTGCGTTCTAAGGCCGCATTGGAGCAATGCTCTTTCACCATCGAGAATGAACTCCTCCATAGCAAGTTCTTGGCTCTTAGTTTTCGGTTGTGGAATGTAGCACGACTCGACCGAATTGGCCATGAGGGTCATCATGACTAACTCCAACTTGGATGCCCCTCAAGTTGTGGAAGAAAGTCTTCTTGATAAGAAGAAACATTTGAATCTCCCAAGGGTGTCGTTGTTTCTCATGGAAGGATGGTTGGTATGGAACTCGAATCTTAGGCCTTCTCCGACTTGGTTGTTCCATGAAGGATTCGGGTAGTACCAATTGGATGTTGGTTAATACCTTCACATGTCGGAGAAGCCATTGGGATTTATGATTCAAACGTGAACAAACAAAAACAAAAACACTCGTGAAAAGCAAGGGTGAAAAATAAAACAAAGATAAAGTGAAACCAGTGAAAGATACCATAATATTGTGGGACAAGGAAAACATATCGAACCCACGGTTCTCTATATATATTATTACTCAGTTTGAGTTTATCATTTAGAACATTCAATTTAAGGTTAAACAACTAAAATAACTACATGAAAGGTTAAACTACTAATTACAAGGTAGGAAGCTCACTAAGGTATGATTCCTCCAACCACTAGTCGGATTAACGATTGATGATTCTCTAACTTATTTCTTTTTTTTTTTTCATTGAATCTCACTCCATTCATAATGCGAAAAAATCTCAACAAGCTTGGAATCTCGACTAAGCAGACATGACCCTCTTGAATATACTGTTTAGAGGGACAGTATCTTTAAATACGACATTATATCAAGACAATCACACTAGACTCCCTCTATTGGGTAAAATTCTCACTCAATACAAAGCAATAGATCGACTCCCTAACACACAATCGATCATCTACTTCCAATCGATTTTGCTCTATTAACCTTATCAACTATTCTCTCTCATAGGTCAAAGTAGAAATAAATAGGCTTAATTAAAGCATAATTGATCATAATTGATCCTGAAATTAGACATAGATATGAACTCAAGTTTAACAAGTTAGAATAGTTATACAATTATCAAGTCAAACAAAGATGACTAGGGTTCCTCAAACCCAAGTGAAGAGAAGTTTACTCCATAAAGAAAAATATTACAGATAAGAAGATGAAAAACTTCATTGTGGTGATGAAATTCTCTTTCCATTAGAAGATCGTTTGTTTGATGTATTTGTAAGTGTTGACTTTTGACAAATAAAGTCAACCATGAAAATAACCGACATGTAACATATTATTTGGGTATTTTTTTTGAAAACTGGCATGCGTTTATATTACTTAGGTGGAACGAATGGACTCAAAGTCCTTACAGAGCGAATGGGCCAAGAAGAAAGGGGGTTAATCAGCCCACACCTCTTTCGTGTCTCAATTACAAAAGGTGTAGGCTAAAATATGGGTCAATTCGTTAAAAACCCGTTTTGTGTAGTTGAAAACAACTCGGCCAAACCGACCCACATCCTAGCGGATTTCTTCGCAGATCTCTTCCACCTCTGCCACAGAGCGCATATCCCGCATCACCTTTTGTATTAGAAGCAAACAGTCTTACTTGACATCAAATGAAGATAAACAAAATCGATCAGTCAACTCAAACGCAAACCCATCGCCTCTGCGACGTCCGACATTCACTGTCGTCGGTTCACTTCACGACAGCAAGGCGAAACTCCCTCGATGGTTTCGAAAGATGACTCCCAAACTCGTTCCCACACCTATCGCAGGATCAACATTCGCCTTTAATCGATCACGCTCGTGTAGTGTCCAGCGAGATGGCGACTGGGCTTGTGGATAAGTACTTCTACTTTGTTGGATTTTGAATTCTTGGATCCATTCCAAAGCTTTGCTAATCATTTCTCCTTCGTCTCTTCTTTTTATTGTTCCACAGATGGTTATTTGTGTTGATTCCATATGAACCAGAGGACCACCACTAAGGATTCAATCGCCTTAGCTTCTCACACTCATGGAGCTCACAACACCACTCTTCACATATATGTTTTCCCCCCTTTCCTGAACAGCTGGTTAATCGTAAATGGTTTTCAAATTTGCCTAACCCAGCCACAGTCTAGGAAAATACGATGTTGTGTTTCCTTCAATCCACGGAATGGGCACTCATCACAGCCTCTTCCTGTTTTGTCCACTAGGTTTCCGCATGTAGGAAGGATGTTATGTATCCATCGCCATGCAAAAACTTGGACTTTAGGTGGTATATTTAGGCTCCAGATTTGTTTCCAGTTGACTGGGACATGAAGATCCCCTATTACTTCGCCTTTCATTTCCTTCCACTTCATATAAGCTAATTTCATTGAGTAGAAACCTCGACTCTCCAATCCCCAAACCCTTTTATCTGAACAAGATTGCGTAGGGATTGATATCTACAAATTAATAAGAGAGATTATATATCTTGATTCATGAGCTTTTTTATCCTACTTTATCCCTTTTGTTTTATATACCACATTAAATATATTTATCAACAATAAAATTAAAATTTTAAAATCTATTTTCAACAATCCAAAGAGATATAATCTTTAGATGGTGCGGTATGTGTTGAGTCACATTCAGCAGGAGGGCTAATCCTAAAGGATGAAGGAGGCCCTTTCTTGTGGCTCAGAAGGCCATTTTTTTTTTTACCTCCGACCTCGTGGCGATGTTTTGATTTTTGTTCCTGGGTTTGTTCTAGGGTGTAATTTTCGATTTTCTATCAATCAATATGATTATCTCTTGTAAAAAAAAAGAGATAGAATCTTTAGATTGTTGATAATCTATAGATTTATACTCATATTCTTCAAACGACCCTTATATTTGCCTCAGTTGACTTGTTTGCCAACGAAAAACAAAACTAGTCATTTGCAAATGACTCGCTCTCCAAATGACCCGTTTTTCGTCAATAATTTCCAATCTTAACCCTCTCATTTTTTTTTTTTCATATACATAATACTGACCCTTCTTATTTTTTTGAACAAAATGACATGATCCTAGTGGAAATCTAAAAGTGTTATAATTGTATTTCGATATCTCATTTAAGGTGAATTAGTTGCATTTTTACAAAAAAAAAATAAAAAATGGTACTAGCTTGTTTCACAAAATCATTCTTTCAAGCCTGGCAAATGCAGCATTGTGTTTGATGGAGCAAAATATCTTCCATTGATTTTGTGGTCTATACATTTCCATTTGTTTAATCTCTTATAATATGAGCGTAATCAGGTCAACAAGATTCGAATGGTCCAAACTCCAAACTCCAAAGTTCGTTAGTTCACAAAGAGGCCACACTTTAATTGCAATTTGGGGGACCTCCCCTCCACCCACAGACCGAATCAAAAGAGAGAAACCCGAGTGCGCTGACCCGAACTAATCCACCCAATCCAATCTCCCTCCCGACCCAAACCCACAACCACACATGGCCCGTTTTCCAGCCAACCCACGCCATCTACGTGCCACCCGCTCCCATCACATGCCCCTGTCCCCATCTCATCCAACGGTGCCTACCTCCACATAGAAACCCAATCTCAGCCGTTCGATTCCCTGGTCCACCGCCTCTCCCCCTAAAATTATACCCGGCCCACCCGTTTGCTGCCTTTGTCCCTTCCTTGTCCCCTCCCTTCGCTACACGACTCTCGATGCTGCTCCTCTTTCCACTGGCACTCATATCCCGTGTGTGTTCTCTCAAAATCTTCCCATCACGCGCTCCACCCTCACTCTCCACACCGTTGGGTGCCTCTGATTGGTCCGTGTAACAGACTGCGCGTGGGGTTTCAGAGTTGTCGCCATCATTACTCCTCACGCACGAAGTGGGGAGTAAATTGCCCAGAGAGACTGTCTGTCCGCTTTACCCATTTCCCCCCCTTTCCTATTTAGCTATCATTTCAGCCCTCCCATCTCCATCCACAATTTCTCACTTCATCCTTCCTTCGATTCCTCTGTTGAACATCGATTGATATTAGAGACTGAGAATCGAGAATTGAATTTGATTACATGGAGCGATCTTCTTCTTCATCGATGGAGCTGGATTCCGATCTGAACCTCAAGGCCACGGAGTTGAGATTAGGTTTACCTGGACACTGCGGCGGCGACGACGACGGGCCTGAGAAGTCGCAGATCAGCAGCACTTCTCCAACAACTGTATTGACAATCGGCAGAAGCAGCGGCGGCAGCAACAAGCGATCTTCGCCGGAAGCTCCGTCGTCCAACGAGTGCCGGTCGCAGAGCGATTCCAGCGCGTCCGGTATCGAATTCGAAGACCGAGATTGCGCTCCTCCTCCTGCCAAGTAAGTTCTCCGATCTCATCCAGCTTAACCGTAATTAGATCTAGTCCAATTTAATTCAAGAGATTTTAACTAATTGATTGGGTGATTTTGAATGTGCAGAGCGCAAGTTGTGGGGTGGCCGCCGATCCGATCCTACCGGAAAACCTGTTTGCAGCAGCAGAAGAGGGGAAGCGAGTCTTCCAGCGGGTCGGGGATGTATGTGAAAGTGAGCATGGACGGAGCTCCCTACCTGCGGAAGGTCGATGTGAAGATGTACAAGAGCTACGCGGATCTGCTGGCGGGGTTGGAGAGCATGTTCAAGCTCAAGTTCGGAGAGTACTCGGAGAGGGAAGGATACAACGGATCTGCCTACGCTCCGACCTACGAGGACAAAGACGGCGACTGGATGCTGGTTGGGGATGTGTCGTGGGAGATGTTCATCTCTTCCTGCAAGAGGCTCAGGATAATGAGAGGCTCCGAAGCGAGAGGCCTTGGTAACTGAGAATTTAAACAGTTACTCACAGTCTCACACACACAACACAAACAAAGCTCAGCCATGGCGGCCACAGCTTTTTACTGATATATTATCTTAAACCTCTGCCGGGTTCTTGATTTGGAACCGACGGGATCATTTCTGGTTGTATACATATATACAGTATAAAGAGCATCTCGAACAGATCGTAATGGATTGCTCTTTAATTTTTTTTTTTAAACCTTTTTTGGGGATGTTCTTCAGCTCATTTGCTTTGTTTGGGTTCTTGTTGCTTGCTGGCTTTGGCTGATCCTTTTTTCTTACTTTTCCTCCCTATACGTTCCACACTGAATACAGAGACAGTTCACAGAGATCAAATAAATGGAAAAAAGAGATCTCTTGAAATTTAAGGTTTTCAATAAGGATTGGATGTCATCTTATCTAAGACTACTATTTTGATTTTTTTTATGCAGTACTGAACTACTGATTGCATTAATCACATTACATAAATTTTACTAGGTTTGCCCATATAGATGGATTTAGATCCACCCAAATAACTAATAACTAATCTGAATTGAATGAGTGTAAGTAAGTGGACAGACACATGGATTTGTCTATGTAAGAGCTCGGAAGAAAATACTAAGAGACGAATGTAAATGGTTGTTTTGGTTTGGAGAATGAAATATGAAGTTGCAATTCATACACTAAAATAAATCTATGTTTGTTTTATATATCCAACATTTGAAACTTTAGGTTATAACTTTCAAATCTCTAAAAATTTGTGATATCAAATTTGTCTTAAAACTAAATAATGTTTTATAAACGCAATGTTGTTCTTTTTAAGAGGTGTATAAGTGATTTCGTTGGGTGTTTGTACGTTCAGAAGACTAGAGTTTGTCGACCACGGAAAAGTAGGACTGCGACAATCCTTCAAGAATTGGCATTCAAAATTCACCGTGCTCTCCTTGAGATTTGGTTTACTACATCCTTTTCCGATCACTCTAGATTTTCTTATCGATATAGAATTTTTCTTTTTACTGCTCTTATATTATTTGACGATGTTGTCTTCGCTAGGAATCATATGAGCTTTATCAACAAAGGCATTTTTGACACATGTGTTTTAGTATACTTTCTGGATATTTAGGTTACACATTCTTTTGGATAAATTGTTCTCAGTGAGCGAAGGTACACGGTAGGTATATCAGAGAAAGCTAGAGTACTTGGAATACACCATGTTCAATTTCCTCTAGAATATAGTCACCGTCTCACCCTCTTACGGACTCTGTGTTGGAGTAAGAAATCGAGTTGTAGATGCTGGAGAAATCCGAATCCGAGAAGGAGAAGGACTTGTTTGGCGCCAAGGTTCAAATTTGGGTTCGAATAAACAAGGAACGTTGCCGTTGATTGAGTTGATATGTCTGTCTGTCAAAGTGGTTATTTACCAGTTTAGTCCTCGAGTCCTGTGAAGTGTCAATTGAGTCCAATTATGAGTAATAGTCAGTTGAGAGTTATGGAGAACATGATGCTGATTTCCAGGAGTGTCTTGTTAGTGGTCATGGTTGTGGAAGCCAGGTTTGTTGGCTGAAACGCAAGAGTACATAAGTGTCTTTGTCAATTTCGAATAAACTGTCAGATAGCAATACTTTGGTTTTCACATTGTGGTATCAGAGCACCAAGCAAACTGTAACCACTAACTGTGATTGAGAGAGTTTTTTGAGAGAAGGCATCTGGTAATCTAGGTCAAGAGAAACACGAGAGACTACTACAAAGGTTGCTTTCAGAGGAAAAGGTGAGAGAGATCTGTGAAACCGTGTCAGATCACCATGACTGACAAAGTCATTGCTGCTCAGGTCTGCATTCCCAAATTCGATGGGTATTATGAGCACTGGACCTTACTTATGGAGAATCTCCTTAGAACGAAGGAGTACTGGACTGTGATCAGTCCTGGAATCAGAGAACCTGCTGAAGAAGAGAACTACTTACAGTAGCACAACAAAAGACCTTGGATGAGTTGAGACTCAAGGATCTTAAAGCGAATGGATCTTAAAGCGAATAACTATCTATTCAGTTCTATTGACAGAACTCTTCTGAAGACAATTGCAAAGAAGGGAACTGCCAAGGAGCTTTGGGATTCAATAAAGGAGAAGTTTCAAGGTAGTGCTCGAGTTCAAAGGCTGAACTTCAGGTACTCAGGAGAAACTTTGAATTACTTGAGATGAAGGGAGGAGAATCCATTTCTGAGTACTTTGGTAGGGTCATGGTAATTGCAAATACTATGAGGAACTGTGGAGAGGATTAGCCAGATGAAAAAGTGGTTGAGAAAATCTTGAGAACCTTGACTGATAGATTCAATTATGTTGTCTGTTCTATCGAGGAATCCAAAGATATTGACCTCTTAACAATTGATGCTCTCCAAAGTTCATTGCTGGTTCATGAGCAGAAGTTCAGCAGAAAAAACTGCAAAAGCTGTGATTGAGGATGACCAAGCTCTTAGGGTATCCTATGACTATGGGAGAGGAGGGATAGGTCAAGGAAGGGGATATGGTGGTCCTGGTCATGGAAGAGGAAGGGTTAGAAGCTGGAATAGAGAAGTTGTTTAGTGCTACAAATGTTACAAACTGGGGCATTTCAGGTATGAGTGCCCTGACTGGTACAATGGTCCACAAGCAAACTATGTCAACTCTAGTCAAGTGCATACCAAAGCTCGAGGGGATATGAATGATGATGTGTTACTCATGGCGTGTATTGATTCTAAAAGCTCACTAGAGTTGGAGGAAGAAGCACAAGGTCTGATGGCTTTGCTTGAAGAAGTAAAGCAAGACATGAAGACTGGTGGTTTTTGGACTCAGGATGTAGCAATCATATGACAGGAGACAAAAGGTGGTTCACTGAATTGAATACCAGCTCTACAGGTATTGTCAGACTTGGTAATAACAGTAAGCTGGAGGTTGCAGCAAAGGGCAGTGTAAAAATTTTAGCTGCAAACTTGAGCATGATTATCAGTGATGTCTTTTATGTTCCTCGTCTCAAGACTAACATGTTGAGCATTGGCCAGTTACAAGAGAAGGGTCTGGATTTTCTATTCAAGGATGAATGCTGCAAGATCTTTCATGAAGAAAGGGACTTATTGCTGCAGACTGAGATGAAGTACTCCAATCGGATGTTTGTCATACATCCTGAAGAACAGCCAAAAGGTCAGGAATTTCAATGCTTTCAAATTGCCAATGGCAAAGAGAAAGACCTGGAGTTGTGGCACAGAAGATTTGGACACACTAATATACAAGGACTAAAGCAACTGGAGCATAAGGGGTTTGTTGTAGACTTACCTGCATTGAAAGGAGATCTGGAGGTCTGTGCAACTTGTCTCATTTGCAAGCAACATAGAAAGCCATTTCTCACGAAGAGTTTGTGGAGAGCAAATCAGAAGTTGGAACTTATACATGCTAATCTTTGTGGTCCTCTTACATTAGTGTCAAATGGTGAGAAAAGGTATATATTCACTTTGACTGATGATTTTAGCAGGAAGATATGAGTTTATTTCCTAGTAGCTAAATCAGAAACTCTTGAGTGGTTTAAGAAATATAAAGCTCAGGTTGAACAAGAATATGGTTTACAGATAAAATGCTTGAGAACTGATAGGGGAGGTCAATTCATGCTCACTAAATTCAAAGAATTGTGTGATGAAGTTGGAATCAAAAGGCAACTCATAGCTACCTCAACCCCCTAGCAAAATGGGGTGGCTGAGAGGAAAAATAGAATAGTGTTGAACATGGTTATATGCATGCTAGCAGATATGAAGGTTCCAGCTGGCTTATGGCCAGAAGCAGTAGCCTGCAAAACTCATGTCTTGAACAAAAGCTCAACAACAGCAAATCAAGGTAGAACTCCTCAGGAACTGTGGACTAGACACCCTCCCTCTGTCTCCCACTTTCGAGTCTTTGGCTTTGTTGCATATGTGCATGTTCCATATCAGCAGAGAAAGAAGTTAGATGATAAGAGCACTCTCTGCCAGTTTCTTGGTATTTTAGTTGAGTCAAAAGCCTACAAACTCTATAACCTCAACACCAAAAAGGTTGTGGTTAGTAAGGATGTAGTATTTGATGAAACTAAAGGATGGAGTTGGAATTTCGAGGAGGAACCTGTGCCGACACAATTGTCTTGGGAAGGAAGTGATCAAGAGTGGTTTGATTCATACACAAAAGGTGATTTTGCAGAATTATATAAGCCAGTTGTTTCAGCAGACACAGAACCAGAACAACCCTCAAATCCTAAAACACCCCAAGGATCACGAGAAGGTGATGGATCCAATAATAATGATGAGAACACTAATGTTGTGGAGACACCAAATGCTAACCCGACAAAAAGAGTCAGTAAGCTACCTGATCATTTCCAGAACTTTGAAATGAGTTTCATTGCTACTGACTGGGTAGCCATGGTGACTGTAACTCATGATTCTCAAACATTTGAGGAGGCAATGTTGGACCCTAAGTGGAATGCAGCAATGTAGGAGGAGATGAATTCAATCAAGAAGACAATACTTGGACTTTAACTACTCTCGCTGAAGGTTTTGAGCCATTGGTCTGAAATGGGTTTACAAAACCAAACTACAGGAAGATGGGAATGTGGATAAGTTCAAAGCTAGGGGTACTCTCAGAAAGAAGGAATAAACTATACTGAGGTCTTTGCTCCAGTAGCTAGATGGGACACCATCAGGACTTTATTAGCACTGGCAGCATACCATGACATCACAGTTTACCAACTAGATGTCAAAAGTGCTTTTCTTAATGGATAACTCACTGAGGAAGTTTATGTGGAGCAACCACCAGGGTTTGTGGTTGATGGGGAGGAAAATAAGGGTTACATGACTCCACAAAGCACTCTATGACCTCAAGCAGGCACCTAGAGCCTGGTACAACATGATGAAATCCTATTTTGTGCGTTATGGGTTTCAAAGGAGTCCCTATGAATGCACTTTGTTTGTCAAGAAGGCTGGAACTAGTATTCTGATCATGAGCTAGTATGTAGACGATCTGATGTATGAAAGCAATGATCCTGGGATGCTTGCCAAGTTTAAGCAGGCAATGCAATCAAAGTTTGAAATGACAGATTTGGGGAGGATGCATTACTTTCTGGGATTTGAATTCCGTCAACAAAAAAATGTAAAAGAGAATCTGGAATAGTTTAGGCTATCAGATCGTAATCATGTGCACAACCCTATTAGTCTTGGATGCAAATTGAACAAGGCTGGGGATGGAGTGGTGATGAATCCTACTGAATACAAGCAGCTGATTAGGAGCATGTTGAATGTAACAGTAACTAGATCTGATATCATGTGTCCAGTTTGCTTTCTTAGCAATTTTATGAAACATCCAACTCAACAACA